CTTCCACTTCACAATTGTATACCACTTTGTGTTGGTCTTTCACATTAAATTCCTGTGAAATATATTTATGTTTGTGGTTGTAATGTGACAAAATATGGAAAAGTTCAAGGGGTATGAATACTTTTGCAAACCACTGTAAAATGACACTGTTATGGTGACAAAAACAACAAAAACAAACAAACAAATAAAAACCCACTTGTCTCCATAAGTCCAAAAGTTGTCACCATAAGTCAGATTACATAGTCATATGTTCTCTATAAAAAAAATCACTTCCTTGTCATTACTCTTCCTCAGCGATAGAGCTTGGTGATGTTTCAAACTGTTAAACACTGCCACCAACTGTTCAGGAGGATTATTACACTCCTAAATGTTTCACTGTGGAAGCGGTGTGTACAGCTCCACCCCTGGTTGAGAAGTCTTATTTTATTTTATATAACATGTGATGGGATAAGTTGTCTACTAAATGATTTAAACAATTCATTTAGTTTTATATTTTTTTCTGTACTAAATAAATTGTTGTTTTAAGCTGTTAGACCCTTAAGCTCACAGTACTGGAAGGTGTATGTAGACTTTTTTAAATCTCAATGTTTGTGAGAAGGTACAAGTAGTGGCCCTTTGAATACACAATAGTCACTAATTAGCTGCATTCCCCTTCTCTTATTTTGGAATTAGCATTTYCCAACACACAGGTCACTGACAGCAGGGCTGCGTTCAAACTAACCGGATGAGAAACAAGGCAGCGACTTCTGTTCTGAACTTTGGAGAAAACGCTGCTCGGCACCAGGCAGGAAGTGGAGCTGCTCAGGATGACCTCTTCACCCACAAGGCGCTCCACGTCCTGAAAGACGTGCTGCTTGACTTCCAGCTGCTCGAACACGCACTCCTGGAACACATAAGCACACTAAAATTTGTACTAGGATGAAAAAAAAAAATCACACAAAATAAAACTGTACAGTGCAGATGAATAAAACAGCTAAATTAAATATTAGGAAGCATGAAGAGAAGTCAGACAAACAAACATAACACCTGAAATCTGCAGGAACTGTCAGGTCTTTGCAGAGAACCACAATGAAAATAAAAACACAATACAGACCATATTTATCTAGTACCCCCTGGTAAACCCATCCCATCCATTTTCTTCCATTTATCTGCAGTAGGGTCATGAACGGAACAGAACCACGAAGGAAACCCATTCCTCCCTCTCCCCAGCAACTTCCTCCAGCACTTCCTGTGGGATCCCAAAGCATTCCCAGGCCAGAGAGGATAAATAAACACTTCAGTGGACAACGCACACACCTCCCGGGTGATCGGCACGGCACATCAACACCTCTACTTTCTAAGGAAACTGAGGAGGATGGGATTGCCCCAGAACCTCCTTAGGAACTGTTACAGGTGTAGAGAGGAGAGCATCCTGATGTACTGGTATGTAGGATGTCACAAGAAGGAACAGGAGGCACTCCACTGGGTCAAAGAAGCACAGAGGATCAGAGCTGACAGGTCAGAGCAGGACCAGGAACATGTTCCACGATTCGACCCACCCTGTTGTTCATCACCTCTTCATGCCCCTGTAAGACCTCATTTTGTAATAACAGCACCTTATGTAACAATGTGATAAAATCAGGCTTCAAAATGTAATAAACTCATGCTAAAAAAACGCATTATGTAATAATTGACACAAAATGTAATAAAAGTCTTCAACGCATTTTGTAATAACAGCACCTTATGTAACAATGTGATAAAATCAGGCTTCAAAATGTAATAAACTCACGCTAAAAAAACGCATTATGTAATAATTGACACAAAATGTAATAAAAGTCTTCAACGCATTTTGTAATAACATTATTACATGTTGCGGCA